GCTTTCAAATTGTCCTTTGTGATACGTTTTCGAATTGAAGAGTTTTGCACGATGATACAATTTTTTTAATGGTTTATCTTTATTGTTTTTTCTTTGCATACAATATATATATATATATATATATATATATATATATATATATATATATATATATATATATATATATATATATATATATATATATATATATATATATATATATGAAATCAATTGACATATTCACAAAATGTCAAATTAAGATCCAAAATGCATGTATCTGGAAGAAGATGTATCAGGTTGAATATCTTTACATATTTGTTTCATAAAAGATTATCATTTGTTATATAAATTTTGTTATGCTAAGTGACTATCATATGTCGTATTGCCATCTTATGCTAAGTGATTATCATTAGGTCCTAAGTCTAAATTTAGGGACATGTTTATTATGATTTGGTATGTTATGGTATGAACATGTGGTTTGTCTATACTGATAAGCTTTTTATCGGTTTGTCTATACTGATAAGCCTTTTGTTATTTTTTGTGTTGTTGTTGATTGTATATAATTGTTCCTTGTTTTTTTTATTTTGGTTTCTTTTGTTTTTCTGTTGGGTGTTGTTTTTTTTTTAAAACTCCTTGTACCCATTGACTTTTTGTGTTCTCTACTGTGGGTTTTCGCCTTTGTCATTAATATATTATTTGACCAAATATAGATTAAAACTGTAATTAAACATAATATTTATTAGTGGCAAATATTTGTAATATTTATTAATGTATCCATCATAAATACTTAACTCTTGATTTTTAAGTATACTTATCACAAAAAATTGTTTTATATTTTTATAATTATTAATGGAAAAAGTTTGTTCCACATTTTTTTTATAGTAATCCATAATAAATATTTTTCTAAAATTGATATTCTTTTCCATTTATAAAATACAATAATGTCTCAAGTATGTTTTAATAAAAAATTACAATTCATATATAATAATTGTTCTCAATTTGAATTAAAATTTATTAAAATTTAACTAATTAATGTATGGTAAATCATATTTCATGTGTATAAATTATGTGTTCTAAAAACATCATAAAAATAAGGTGAAAAGTGTGTAATAATGTATAAATTGTATGATCTAACAACTAAATATAAAATAAGGCTAAAAATGTGTGTAATAATATATAACTTGTATGTTCCAATAACTAAATATAAAATAAGGTGAAAAGGTGTGAAACAACTTAAAAAAAACATGTAAAAATAAGTATGACTTCTAAGATATAAAAGTTTTTATAATTAGTGTAATAAAATTTCTCTCATTTTTATGTTGATAAGATTAAAATAACTTATTTTTCTAAACATTTATTTAATAATAGATATTTGTTTAGTGTTCAATTTTAATATATAGTTTACGATACAAGAAAATTAAAAATGAGATTAATTATTATATATTGTAAGTATAAAATATTTTATACAGTCAGTGCATTACAACCATCCATTAATAGAATTTAATAAATAATTAAAATAAAAATAAAATATAAATTATAATTTAATGATCATGGTTCACTAATGGTGTAAAATTTCTTTACTCTATCAATTCATTTAAAATTTTAAAAAAATGTTACTCCTAACTACATTGTCAACGATAATAATTTAAATTTAAAGGATCTCAATACTTTGTAGATCTTTTAAACACTTTACAAACATTTTATTGTAAGGTAGGTAATCAAAATTATACTAAATACAGTATGTTTTAATTTACACACTATAAATCTCAAGTAACAAATATTATAAGAAGATACTAATAAATAAATTATATATTATATTTTTCAACATTTTCATTTAAAAATAAATGAAGTAAAAAAAAAGAAAAATAAATATTAAAATAAAATAAAAATAATAAATCATACACTAACACTCGTTCATAAAAAAATGATAAAATTAATAAATAATTTTAATAAATTATTAACATTGTTTTTAAATTTTGAAATAAACAATAGAGTCCAACGATAGACAATAACTCTCCGAACACAGCTTACAAATTTCATTGTATTGTGCTATCCAAAGAGCAACTCTTCTCAAAAGACCAAAGGGTGTTGAGTTGGAATCCCATTCAAACAAGAATTCTTGTGGTTCCGAAGGATCTAACTACAGGAGAACCAAGAACGAAGAGTTTTTCCCTCTTTTCTGTCTGATCCTTTGCTCTTAAGAATGTAGGTTTTAAGTTAAGAATGAATAATTGTGACATTTATAATTTTGACTTAGTTATACCTATATTAACAAAAACAAAAAAACAAAAAATGAAAAATAAAATAAAATATAAATAGAAAATAGAATCCACTAATAAAAGAATAAATTTTATACTTGACATGTTGATATATGCAAAAATAGAATACTATAACATTTCATATTATAAAATTTCACTGTTAAACAACCTTGCAAAAATCAACAAAAACACATCATAAAAGTTTGTAGAAAGAAGCTTCAAAGAAAAGAATGATGATAAATATTTGTTTACAAACGACATATTGTGCTAAAAATAATGAATACAATATTTATTCATGTATTTAATCAATAAAAAGAATTTAATTTATGTAATGGATTAGCTCCGGTGTTATACAAATGTTTTTTCTCAATTTTAAAAAGCTTCCAACCATGTGTTTTGGCATTATTTTGTTTGAAATACAAAAAAAAAAGAAATAAAAAACAACGACATTTATGATTGTTTTTTAATTTAGAAAAGCACACTCCGCACTAATATTTAAAACACAGGCTCTCTATTGTCATTCTTTCTTAAACAATCTCAATTAAAAAGCTATATCTCTCTCGATCAAAAGAATACATTTGTTTCTCGTTCAATTCGATAATGATTTGTTTTAATATTAATTTTGTTCTACGAAATTCTTGATCTCATTCTCTATCAATGATATCGATTTGGTATTATTGGTAATTTCGAGAATGCTATCTTCATATAATAATGATTTGCTTCAATATTCATTGTCTTCTACAAAAATATCTCATTCTATATTAATGATATCATTTGGTTTAATGAAAATTATCAGTAATCTTTAGAATGTTATCTTCATATGATAATAATTCTTTCAATATTGCTTTTTTTTTCTAAAAAATTTTTGAAAATCTTGATCTCGTTATCTATCATTGATATCAATTTGGTAGCATACTTAAATTATAAATGAATTAGGTGCAATTAAAATATTTTTGGAGTATTTTTAGAAAAATCAAATCACATAAAAAGAAAAAGATTTAAAGATAGAAAAAGCCCTTCCATTATCTTACTTTATTTAGGCCACAAAAGTACATATAGATCGCTCTTATGAAACACTTTTCATTATTCTATTTTATTTGGGCCACAAAAGTATGGATAGATCTCGAGTGGATCTTATTTCATGGCATTATTATTGATGCAGGAGTATTGATTAAGTTTATATTAGTTTATCTATATTGTACTGATTTTAATCTTAACTACATAAAGTTGAACCTAAACTTGATATCATTTATACTCCATAATTGTATCATCAATGTCCAACCATAACATTTTTACTCTATTATTAACCATAATTTATTGCATATTTCGAGAAACTAAGAAGTCAATACTTTTTGTTCTATACTCTTTGTGCTTGTCTTTGGTGTTGTCACCCACCTAAAATTAAATGCAATACATATACTACAAAAAAAAAGCAAGAATTCTCATTTCTATGTCTCATACTATATAATATACGTAGAACTTTATGAAGATTATGAGAGTCATCCAATCACAGTTGGTCTTTCAAATGAATTGTGTCTATTGAAAATCTTTCATTCAACCATTGTTATCATTAAGAAAAAATAGGGCTTAAGCCAAAAAAAACTAAGAAAAAATAACACGATGGGTTGTAATCCTTATATCATCATTAGAAAACAGACATTTCTTCAAAGTAATCTTCATAATGTTATGTTCCTACTTCATACCTCAAGTTCAAATTGGCCAAAGCGTCAGCACAAAGAGTTACTTTTCGATACACATGTTCTATTTTGACTTCCTAACCTCCATTGATCAAATTTTTTATTTGATGTTGAAGACCTCAACCTCCTTCTATCTTTGTCTTGTTGTTTGTTAGTGTTTCAAAATGTTAGAAATTTTGGGTCACAAATATAATATTCCATGTGTTAGGACCGTTATGTAATTAGATGAAATTGTAGTGGTCAAATTAATAATAAGTCTATAGCTAAAAGCATAAATATCATGAAAAATAATATTATTGTATATATACCATAAGTCAATATCTAATTTGATGAGAGGTCAAATTAGAATAATGAGAAATAAGAAATAGCCCTAAGGTTATTTATAGGGGTTATGGTCCTTATTTACTTCAACATTTGTTGCCTCTGGCAACATTTGAAAAACGTTGTCAGAACTCTGAAAATCGTTGCCTAAAAGAATAGAAGACGTTTTCCAGGCATCTCCTGTGTGAGCGTTGCCTATAGCCTAAGGGGACATTTTTTCGTGTTCTATGGGCACACTTCTTAAAAGCGTCGCCTAAATTAAAGGAATAGGGGACGATTATTTATGGCCTCTAAGGTGACGCTTTTTATGCGTTTCCATATACGGCTACAAATAATAACTGTTGCCTTAAATATGAATCAAGAGGATCGTTTTTAAAGTGTAGCCATAGCTTATAGGTTGTTGTTTTACAGTGTGCATATAAAATATAGAATTTTGCAATTATTTTCTAAATAATTTAGTCGATGAATACTGGCTTAAAAAATTGTCGATTGTAATTTAAACCATATCAAATTTAACCGTACCTCCACAAAAGTTATATTATAATAAAATCGAGTTCAAACATTAATTAAAGATACTATCCACTAAACTAAATGTCTAACATAACATTACTTATAACACTAAGTTTAATACTTTGAAGTATGACCCTAGTAAAATAACAAAAAACAAATTTCAGCAGAAGAACAAAAAACATAGTTCAAGTTTAATGCTTTCAACTACAAGCCAAAAAAAAAGACATCATCCAATTCATTCAAGTTTTTCTTCTTGGAATACGTCATCCAGGTCTTCCTCTTGAAATTCATCACATATGTCGTCCTCCAGATATTCTTCGTCTATGTCATCCTTTTGAAATTCACCATCTACACCGTCCTCTTCAAATTCATCATCTAGATCTATGTCGTCCTCTTGAAATTCATCACCTATAACATCCTCTTGAAATCCAGCATCTACGCCGTCCTCTTGAATTTCATCATTTATATCGTCCTTTTCAAAATCTTCATTAATACCTTGTTGCATAAGAAAATAAAACAAAATACATCAACCATAAATATTTTTGGTCCAAAGGACAATTAGGACATCAATAAGAATTAAACCTTGCACAAATAAACAACAAAAATAACGAGCAAAATACATTATGCATAAATACCCAGAAACAACTGTTGTAAGTGGGATACATGTTGGGTACATAAGTTGATTTATACCTCAATGACACTGTTTGAATTAAAAAAACATGATATTGAAACACATGACACATGAGAGGATATCAAGAAAGAGCATAATTATTGTCCTTAAAAAGTGCATGTTTTTCTTTTGCAACACTGACAGCAATACCTATAGAATCAAATTACACCCATGTGTTATCCATGTTTTCAACTTCAAAAATAGTATATCATGACAGGTGTATACCTTTTGGCATTTATGACACGTTATTCATTTATCCCTTCATGTACTCCACCTCATTCATCCACGTCTTCAAGTAGTTGTGTTATAAAATGCTTGGAGCATAGTGATAGCTTATATGGGGCAACACAGCCTGAATAAAGAATGAATAACTTGATGGTAATAACACTGAACATAGACATTTCAAAAAAACAAAGATCAATAAAATCTGAAAGCAGGTTCATAACCTGTTTAACTTCATGCCACATGTCCTTCGCGGAGATGCCTTTGTGAGAACCAGATATAACAAAGACAGAGCATTCTGAGATATGAACATATTCAGTCTCTTCTGCTGCAATTGCAAATGTGAGCAGAGATTGCTCATTTGCAGTCCTGTAGATGCATGTATCAGTTAATTTTGCATCCATTGCCTAAAAGTGTATTAACAAGTTAGAGAGTTACTTGTGATGTATAAGCACACCATGCACGCCATCAGGCCTCCTAGCAAGAGGTAATATGTATCTTGAATGTTAGAATGAAGTAAAGGCAAGGTGTGGGGATGGGGAAAGCAATCAAATGGGAACATCTTCATGTAGATTATAAACCAACAGACAATTTTCTTACTTTATCTTTGAGTTGAAGTGATGACCAGTAAATTCAAATTGCCCTCCAACAGAATTCTGAATGTACACAACAAATTGGTTGCACTCAATACCTCAAGAAACATATTGTAACAATAAAGAGCCAGCAAAAAAAAAAATTTCACTTACAGCCCATGTGAAAAGCAAGGTGAAATCTTTTGAGGCAGTATTTATTATTTGAATAAACTTTCAATCGGCTTAAAAAAATTAAATCTCTGAGAACCAACTAATATAAGCTTTCGAAAATGATATACATATGAAGATTAAACAAAGGAATCATTATGCTGGGAAGTGGTATTCGAAGAATACAAAACACATTAATAAAAAAGAGAGAAAACCAAAAGCTTACCCCAGAATTTTGCATTTTCCTTAAGGATTCTCCACTTGTATCAACAAAAATCATCACACCTGATATATGCCCTGGACAAGAATCTTCCATCAGATTATCATAATTCTTCTATTTAAATCAGCAGCTAAATACTCGATAGTTATTTATAGATACAATACAGACTAATGATTCAAGTATCAATAATTTAAGGAGTTCTTCAAAGCCACTGTCATTAAGGGAAAAATTGTAGTTGGAGAAAATCTACAATCACACACATTTTAACTTCATAAAGGTAACCAAAAAAAAAGTTATGAGTAAATTACCACAGCTTGCTTATCTCAAATTTCTAGTTTAATGGCTATATTATGTACACGTTGAAGTGGTGGGGTTTATTAGATAAATAGACCATAGAAACAATAATGATTAAAATAATTGTTCTTTAGTAGTAACAACAGTGACACTTCAAACTCTAGTTTAGCAGCATAATCAAATAATTGCTACTTATTAGTTGATACATTCATCACAAACCCAACAACACATTCATCATGTACGAGAAAAGATACCTCGAAGAGAAAAAAGAACAAAATGTTCATAAACAAATAGCATAAATGAAGAGAGACAAACATGACTTTTGTTACCATAATAACTAGTCCCTCATCATTAACAATTATCAAACCCAGGTTCCATCATCAATATAGCAATCCACACAGAACAAATGTAGAAACAAGAAAAACCAAACATGTAAAGACATCTTTAATGCACATACGGGTTAAAAGATGTCTTTGTATGATTCATCGGTATATCATATAGGTGATAATAATTCTTGATCATCCCAAAACCAGCTGAGAAACTCAGTAGAATACATATGCTCAATTTTATAGACATAATAACTCAAAAGCTAAGTTTATCTTAAAGTCCAGTTCATATAATAGCTAAAACTTGCTTCCAGAAATTAAAGGGGTGTCATTGTTCATAACATTCAGTTTCAATGAAAAAAGAAAAAAGCCAAGGACTCGTAATTTGGTTGCTATTGCTAGTAATAGACAAAGCAAGTTTCTAAGTCCTAACCACATGACTTCACATCACAATAACTCAACAATTGCAATAAAATTTAATTATTTTAAACACAAACTAACAATGGATGTGTTAGTAAAAGGCCTCTTATCACTAAGACTTATGTCAGAAAGAAGCATATAAATCAAGTTAATGCTGCAACAGAAATTATGTTTTACTAGTAGGCAAATTATTTTATTATTGTTAAATGTTGAATTTGCAGTAACTGTTGTCTAACATCTGCAGGAAGTCAAAAACTGCTGAAAAAAGTTAATAGTTATAAATATAGGCTGAAAGGAAAAGGGAGGGGATTGGGTATTCTGTATGTTGGATGGGTTGGGCGACAATAGGCTCTCTAATTCCTAGGGGTTGTTTGTGACAGTTAGAGTATTGTCTTGTATTGTATGTAACTCTTAAAGAGTAGCATTTCCCGGTGTTTATTCATATCAGAACCAGTTTCTAACACCGACATTTTTCATATCAAAACCAGTCTTAACAGGATAGACGCGGGGAGCAGCCAACCTCAATACACTAAAGTAGAATAGTAGATATAGGGATAATCTCGTTTCTAACTGATTTGGAAATGAAGCTTCAAACTATATTTCCAATTTCGGAGTTGCATCAGAAACACACCAGAATAGCAGATGAGCTAAACTATGTTATATATGTTACTTCATGGAAGAGATAGTTTAAGGTTGTCTTTGTATATATCAATTCTATGATGTGTTTGCTTGTTGAAAAATTAATGTTGATGTTGTAGTTTGCTTAAACATAATGCAGCCACTAAAAGAAAAACGAGAAGAAGTGAAGTATCGTTTTAAGCTGCAAATGTACATAATGCAGTTAAGATCGAATTAGGATTAATTACTTTATCTATTTTTCCACTTGTAGACATTATTTGCAGTTGGTTTATGTATTTTTCACATGTCCACGTCATTAAGAGCCTAAAACTTGTGATTGCGTATTCATGGTATTATAAAAAATGACTTAGTCCTTGATTGAATATGTTCATATAATACACTGGTTTGTTTTGAGTATAAGATTTGTCATTATTGTGATATCTTGTGTGCTTCTTCAAAGAGTTAGATTCAATTTTTAGGATTATTGTTTCTTGAAAGTTCCAGTATCTCTTAATTTTGGTCCATATATAATTATAAAAACTAAAAAGGGCTATCACTTATATTGATGTTTATTTCTTTCTAACACATGTTGGCCCTACAGGACTCGTCCAAATGAAAGCTTTGGAGGTCTACATGTTTATTGCTCAACAACGTTGCTTGATTTTTACTTGGTTTCTATATATTATTGGTACTTCAAGTTGAAGTATTGTCTGATCCTGAGACATGATATATTCAACTATTTCTATTTGACATTTTCTTATTACTACCAATGTATTTGTCAGTGTTATTTTTAGTACGTGTCGGGTGTTTGAGCATTGTTAATTTCAGCTTATATACAACAAATAGACTATATAACTTGTAAAAATAGATTAACTCAAGCTTGTGTAAATTTATAATAAAGAATTCTACTCTATAAGAGGAAATGAAGGAGAAAAATGACAGGATTCTGTTACCTAAAGATCTTTCAACTTGATTCCAACAGCAACAAAAACCAAAAGTTTATCCTTAGCTAAAAGCAACTTCAATTTCTATACAACATCCTTCACTGTAACAACAACAACAACAAATCTAGTACTTAAAACGATAACGTTTCTTTCCCAAACAATTTGAAACTGATGAAATACCTAATTGAGCTTTAACCGAGAAAACGACGACGTTGCACAAACGACCTAAAGAGAAATAATCAAAAAATGAGAAAATGAAAATTCAAATGTAATAAACAGTAAAATAGATGAAATAGAATATGCCGTCGTTGGAAGAAAGACGGTGATGTCGATGGACTCGAAAGCGGCGCGACGAACGTGATTAGACTGGGTGGTTACGATGCAGGAAGGGGGAGAGTCGCAGGAGCAGAAGGCGTCATCATCAACAATTGTGAACACTGAAAGAATCAACTGGCGAGATGAGACGACAACACGGTTCAGGATGAGATTCGGCGGTAGGATGTTTGAAGAAGGAGAACTTTCGTTTTCCTTTCAATTTGTTTGACATTTTTTTTCTTTGGAATATGTCTGATTATTTTTTAGATTTTTTATTCTAAAAAAAAGTGTGCACCTTTTTTATAGTTATATATTATTATATTATGTGTTAGAATATATATATATATATATATATATATATATATATATATATATATATTATATATATATATATATATATATATATATATATATATATATATATATATATATATATATATATATATATATATATATATATATATATATATATATATATATATATATATATATGTATGTTCATTTTAATAATATTTAGAGGGAAATATTTGTTTTTTAGGGTATAAGTTTTGGAGGGAAGATCCCACCAAAAATTTGATGGTGCTAAAATTTTATGCAACATTGAAGAAGTGTAGCCTTTTATTATAACTAATGTAACAATTTAAAAATGTCCTCAAAAGTATTTTAGGGGACAATTATCAAACATTGTTAAAGAAGTAATATATTAACGCTCTAAAATCGTCCCCAGAAGCAGTTACGGGTACAATTAACAATTGTTGCCAAAAAAATAAAAGAATGACGCTCCAAAAACGTCCCCAA